AAGCGGCTGGCTACCACCAACAACCTATAAACCTCCTCCTGCCTTCCAGTCACATCTATCTGGAAGCTTCCTGGCTCTACCTGGACCCTTCCATTCTGGTCTTTATCTGGAAAGACAATGTGTCTCTTTGTCATCCCAGTTCCTATTCTTCCTGTCTTTTTTTTTTTTTTTCTGGTCTTTCGAGACAGGGTTTCTCTGTATAGCTTTGCGCCTTTCCTGGAACTCACTTGGTAGTCCAGGCTGGCCTCGAACTCACAGAGATCTGCCTGGCTCTGCCTCCGGAGTGCTGGGATTAAAGGCGTGCGCCACCATCGCCCGGCTTCTTCCTGTCTTTTAAGGTGATTTCAGATGCTGTATCTTCACAGGAACTCCCTGGCCCTGTGATCAAAGGTGGTTTCTCCTCACAGGCTTTCTTCTGTTGCTCCCTCAAACGCGCCTCACCTTTAGCCTTGCCTCAGCTCTTGATGAGCGTGGCTTTCTCCTCTCAGAGCCCATAGGTTTGAACTTGAGGCTGCCTGTGGTGGGACCTGCTGGTCTACCATTGTCGTTTCATGATTGTATTTCTTATTAACCTGAGTAGGTAGAAAAGCTCAGAAATTAAGCAAGGGCCAACAGGGTTCAATTAAAGCTAAAGATGTCCCACATTCTGAGTCACGCAGTTAAACGTGAGTATTTAGGCTTGGGTAGGGAGGGTTGCTTTGAAGCAGGCAAAGGTTCAAGTTCCAAGGATGATATTTAAAATGGTGTGATGGTGGACCTTCATGTCAACCTGACTGGGTTTGGAATCATTTAGAACACACCTCTGGGTATGTCTAGAAGGGCATTTCCAGAAAGGTTGACTGGAGGAAGGAAGACACACTCTGAACATATGGAGAGCATCGTCCCGTGGTCTAGAATAAAATGGGAAAAGCAAGAAGGCAGCCAAGAACCAGCATTGACTAGCTGCCCCATGGTTCCACCGCCTCCTGTGCCGTGATGGACTGTCATCCCTTTAAACAGTGAGGAGAAAAAAAAAAAAAAGCCATAAGAAACCGACCATCAAAATGACCAAAACAAAAGCCTTCTTCCCTCAAGTGGCTTTTGTCATAGCAGCGAGAGTTACTAGCACAACAGTCTTTGAGATGACAACCACAGTGGCCATGACCTCTGAGGGACGCACACACATGTGAAGCGCAGTTGGCCCATGTTACAGAGGGTCTTTTAATAAAATTCGGTGGCGTGCCCACCACTCATGCTGCAAAGAAGAGAGCCCAGCATGGTGTCCACAACATGGGAAACTCTCATAAAGAGAACTCTCATAGAAAGAAAGGACAGAGTAAGTTTAGCTTTTCCGTCTTCCTTCAGTCCCATGTTACGGGATGTTGACTTCTTGATGCCTCGGTTTCCCCCTGTGTGAAATAAGAGAGAACTTGATCGACTTTGACTACATGAGAAGCCAAAATTACTGTGATCATGAAATATTCAGCATGAGATGTAAACAATAATTAGTCAGGCAAAACGTGGCCACTGAAAGAGCATTTCAATTGCTAAGACACAAAGTAACCTACGGTTTCTTTGGACATGTCAAAACAGCTTCCATTAAATCTTTATTTTAGGACCATTGTATGCAGGACTCAGCTTCTTTGTGGAAAGTCAGAGAGTCGTTCCGACTCACCATCCATGGCTGTCGAAAGGAACAAGTAATGCAAGTGATTGCAAAGAGCTTCCTAAAATCCAGGAATTATACAATAATAATAGTAATCATGTGTGACTAAAAGTATTTCCATCTTAGCCGCTTGTAAGTAATACACTTTCTCTTTACTTAAGTCTCTTTTTTACCTTCTAAATAATGCATCACCCCTTGCATTTACAATCTCCTGGTCTGCTTTGTCGTGTTTTAAATTAGGCTCCGGCATGCCCACGTGAGCTAACACCCTGCGCTTCAAGAATACTGCCAGGCGAACTTTAACAACAGGACTTGGAGATTTATGGTCTGGGCTTCGAGGAGGAATGTCAGCATCCCGGCAATTCAGGGAAAGAACCCTCACACCTCATTTCTTCATTCAAATGAATTCAACAAATATTTCTAGAGCATAAAGCCAGAGCCAGGCAATGTGTTACAAATACGGCACACCTTATCTGGCCACACAGACTTGGAAACTAATCGCTGTAATACGGGTCATAAAAGTTTTATTGAGGATCTGCAGAAGGTATCTCAGTAACATACAGTGTGGAATTACCAACTCTGTGCTGGGAGGAGGGGCGTGGACCATGTCTTGGTCTGTTCAATGGCAGACAACTGAGCTCCTTGTACCTCTGTGTACTGCTTCTGGGAATAAATTCACAGTAACAGATCTAGGCTCCCTATGGGGGTTGCTACTCTCGGGATGATCAGAAAGTCAGAGGCTCCTGTGTGCAGGAATGAGTCACATTCCATCAGGTGGACTCCAAGCTATCCCAATGAATAACCACCACACGGTCTTGGTTTCTCATGCAGCCGGGGGTCTGGGTGCTCCTGCCCCGAAGCCCAATGGCTCTGTGACCAGGTTTGAAATAGAAGCATGACTAACCTTCACGTCTCTCTTTCAGCCATGGGGTCTGCCTTGTCAGAGCTGAGACCTGTGCAGAACCTGAGCTGTGAAGAAATGTGGTCTTCAGCCTCAGGTCTTTTAGTTAGGAAGGATCTCTGATTTCGAAGGGGAGATTTGGTCAGGAAGCCATTCTCTCAACTTCAAGGGCTTCTAGAGAAAGAGCTGCCTGGTCTGGGACTTCAGGGCCTAGGAAGGGTCCGTTATAGGGCATTCAGCAGGGACAACTATCCTTCTACTGCCATGGCCCTGGTACAGTATGTCCAGATTAAATTTAAGACGCTGAAATAATAGTAGCACAGACGGAAAATGAGAAGCAGTAAGAGATAGGAAGGAGGGATGGGCTGATTTTGAAAGGCTCTGGACTTACAACTTAAACTTGCAAGTGATAGAGAAACCCGGAGAGATTTGAAGACGTAAGTTTGTATGTGTACATCTGTGTATACGAGCAGGGCAGAGATTAGTATCTTTGGTGATTATTTTTTTTTAAATAAGACCAACTCTGTGTGTGTGTGTGTGTGTGTGTGTGTGTGTGTGTGTGTGTGTGTGTGTGTTTGTATACATGCATGCTCATGTACATGCCACAGTACATGCATTCCAGGGATTGAACTCAGGTCATCAGGCTTGCTGGGAAAGTGCTTTTATCCACTGATTCATCTTGCCAGCCCTCTATCAATGGCTGTTACCATAGTGTACTGGTAAATTCTTGATACCTTATTCTCCAGAATAGAAGGCACTCAAGTGTCACTTATATCCACTCTCTGTGGTTTGGATACTTCCAGCTTGGTCCATCTCAAACTGTCAACATGTCATCACTCAGAGTAGTGTTGGGAGGAGACGCACACAACTGCCTCTTCTCTGAGATACAGAGAAATTCATTTCACAAGAAATACCAGAGAGATAAGTATTTTGCCCAAGGTTATGCAGTGAATTAGTGGCTAACACCTAATCAATGTTTTAAATCCATGTCTACCAATTTTCAATATTTTTTATTAAAGACTTTGCTGCCTCTAGCTGGGTAGTCTGGACAGTTCTCTGTTTCAGAGCCCCCCTCCCACCCCTCACCCCCCACCCCCGCCGCCAAAATAGAGTTAGAGGTGGGTGTGGGTGATGTAGTGTGAAAGAATTCTAGACCACTACAGAAATGAGCGGGCATGGAGGTATTCTGGGAAGATGTATTTACAAAAGCAGGGTGCAAGCCTTAGAGAACAGAGGTGGGCCGGAGAGAGGAAGCTCAGAGATAAATGAGATGCTGTAGACGGCTGTGGAGAGGGTTGAGGGGACAAAGTGAGGAGACTGAGTCATGTCATAGCACCAGGAAGTGTGGGCATGTTTGAAGTCTGATGTACAGTGTCTACAGAGTGTACATGGTGCATGAGTGTGGGTGGAGATTTCTGCCTTGTAACTGGATGTGGTAGTACCATTGTCCACAAACAGAATTGTGAGAACAGGTATTGGGAGCAAGCTTGCACGCACTTGAGTTTAAAGGGCTTGTGGAGTCATTACCATCTGGATGTCCAGAAAAAAAGCAGGAATGTTCAGAATAAGATGTGAGTCAAAGCAGTCAGCCTGGATAGAGCTGGGAGATTAGCGAAACCTTGGCTGAACTCGCCAAGTAGATGAACTTGCTAGAAATATGGAAAGGGCTGAAAGTGAGTGAGGGGCCTTGAGAGTGACAGTGACGTTGTTGAAGGTGACCTTCTAAAGGTGAGGTGAGGGTGATTCTAGAGTGAAAGAGGCAGGCAGTGTTAAATGATGTTGTGGCTACCATGGTGGGAGGCTTTGATCTCCCTCCATAAAAGAAATACTTTCTCAGCTGCTAAGAGAATGAACCAAGAATGGTCCCAGCTGCTACGGCTCTTGGGGGTGGGGGTGGAGTGTGTGTGTGCCTCACCTAAGAAAACTGCCTGACCCTAGGTTTTTTCCTCTTCCTAGAGTAACCATGTGGCATAAAGTCCCACTCTTTCATCCTTACTTGAGGAAACTCTGTCTGAGTGTCCAATGTTCTCCAGAGTTTCCCGTGGACATGGCTGGTGCTGCACCGTGAGCACACTGCAGCTCAGCCTCTCTCTGTCCAATCTTGTCTGCATGAAGCCGATGCCCCTTTGCCCTGCTGCTCTTCTTGGGTGTTGCTATGGAGCTACTCAACTATTTAGTCCAGTGGGTCTCAACATGTGGGTCTCAACTTCTTTGGCAAACCTCCACAAATATTTATGAAACGATTCATAACCATAGCAAAATTACAGTTATGAAGTAGCAATGGAAATAATTTTATGGTGGGGGGGTCACCACAACGTGAGGAACTGTATGAAAGGGTCGCAGCATTAGGAAGATTGAGAGCCACTGTATTAGATATTGCTGCTACAGAGTGAGCACGCACAGGTCCACCTAATCATTCATCAGATTCCCCAAACAAATCAAGACACTGATATCTCACTGATTGAATAAAGCTTTATTTTAATGCAAAATAAAACATGAAAAATTTATATACTCATATACAATAACATCCAAAATGTCTTCAGTGATATAAATGGGAGCATATTAAAAAGTTTGTAAAGAATTCACTCTCCATCCCCATATGCCAAAATACGATTTCACATAATTTATCTTTAGAATATATGAACAGACGACTTGGTAATCATAAAAGAACAGGGGAGACGAGAGAAAGTATGGGTACAAACAACAGACTTTGTTTTATGTTCCAGTAGTAAATAGCATTGCAGATGGAACAGAACACTTTCTGAAGAGCAGATCAAGAGATGGGCTCAGAGTCTTTGGGAATGGTTCCCTTCCCACTCTGAGCTTAGTAGCCAAACCCAACTTTAAAAGCCAGGCCGTGGGAGATTGTGTGCCTATTTAAGGAGAGGAGGGAGAAAGTTACACTTCGAAGTCATAGTTCCACGTGAGAGTCCTGGCTTATTTTTAGATTTCTAACTTTTTTTTTTTGCCCTCTCTTTTATCAGAAAGGTGACTTTGTAGGGATATCTTATGGAGAATCCCCTTTCCCATCTCCCTGTTTCTACGAGAAACACTATTATGGATTTTTCTGAATGGAACTCCCTCCTGCCTAATTGAGTAAAACTTGGGACTTTCTGTTCACACGCACAGGGAAGCTGTGGGATGTCTACTCAATTTAAGGACAGTTTGAAAGCTGCTCACAGTGGATCTCAGTGTTTAATGCTGATGGGAATTTTACAGAGACACATTCCTTTTGTCAATCACCTTTCAATTCTTTCCACAGGCCTGAAATTCTGTAACACTGCTCAAACACTAAACAGCAAGCAAACAAAATGAAACACTGTTGATTTTCAGTGAAGGGAAAAGTAATTGCTCTTTATGGTCTTGGTCCCTCTGTGGACCAGGGAACAGAGGAACCAGCTCTTCCATCCTGAAGTTGCAGGAGGATTCCTTCACAAGGTAGATTTAGCTAAAAAAAAAAAAAAAAAAAAAAAATCAAGGCAGTGGATCCTGTTTTAATTTTATTCTGTCGGTAGCAGAAATAAGGCTCCAATAAAGCCTCCAAGGCTCTGTTTCTCTATGATGCCATCGAATCCATCAGACTTTTGCTCCACGAGGTCCTGTGGGTTCAACATAGATGTTCTGAAAAGTCTCGGAATAATGAGTTTTAGAATAATTTTTTCCTAAGCTTTGTTTGCTATGAAATCATGATTTAAGAAAATGTTCCTTTGTTTGCCTACTGCTTAACTCTGGAGGGAAACAGTATTAAGCCAAGAAGGATGGTGCCTCAGCCCAGGGGTGTGATGGACCAATGGGCGGTGTTTCTCTCTCTGTGGAAGACTGTATTCTCTAGAGACTAGAGGTTTTTAGTGGTCTCTCTCTCTTATCTTTCTAGTTATAGGAGAAAGGGAGGAAAGAGGGCCCATGAAGCTGGATGGCCTGCTAACAGGTTTGTAGGTCTTCATAAACCTTTCTCTCTGTTCCCAGCTACAGAGAGATACCCAGGTGAGTTTCCCCAAGGTTGTACATAGACTGGGAGCTAGTTTCTTCTTCTGGGGACCTGCTTATCATAGCCTGGACTTCCAGATGGCCAGCCGTTCTCCTAGAGCACTGAAAAATGGTCCTGCGGCTGTGGAGAGGGGACAGTGGGCGGGACAGTACTCCAGCATAAAGCTTACTGCCCGAGCGGTTCTTAACCGTTGCTTGGCTTGATGCAGCCTCCGTCAAAATATAATGTTAGTTCTTTAGGGCAGGATCAAATGCAGAGATTGCTATACTTTGAAGCAAGAAAAGAAAGCTGTTCTCATCTCCTTTTTGTTCTCTTTAATAATACCTTTGAGCCTCAGAGGGCCTCTCAGGATTAGCAACTGTTGGATGGACTGTGTACCCAACACAAAGCCAAGGTCTGAAGCAGCTGGTCTGAAGCCTGCAGATAGGGTACTGTGTGCCCAAGGTGTCAGTGCCGGAGCCAGAGACATGAGCAGTTATCCTCAAGTGCCTCTTCTCCAGAGCACACCACTGTCGCCTGACCGTGGCCCACCTTTAAGTGGTCCAGCCTTTCTGTAAGGGGAAACTTCTGCCTTGGATAGAATCAGTGCTTTACAGAAATTTGAGGAAAATATAGAACACACCAAGAGTAATCTTAAAAACAAACAAAAACAACCCCTCCTCAAAAAAAAAAAAAAAAGCGCCCTAGAGGGGGTCTCATTATATAGTCCAGGCTGGTCTTCAGCTCACCCTTCAGTTCAGGCTAGCTGCCACCTTGCGTCTGCCTGCCTTGACTTCCTGACTGCTTGGATTCTAGGCATGTGGTACCATGCCTGGCTTAAGAGTTGTTCTAATTCTCTCCCCCGTCCCCCCAAAAAAGTTGCATTTCCTTCACTGTATCAGTTTCTTTCAGGATTCCTTGGCTTAAAGGAAATGCCATTTTCAGCACGGTGGCCAGGGACCCTACAGTGTCGCCACAATACCTTGTTGGGCAGAGTCTGAGATCCTCCACCCCACTGGACAAATTACATATGATGTAAGGGTGCTGGCTGAAAAGGGAGGGCAGAGGGCAAAAAGCAAGTTGACAGTCAGTTTTCAGAGGGCCTCAGTCACTGTGGTTTAGATAACGATCTCTCTCGAAGTCCAGCAAAGGACACCATTTACGTCTAAACCCAGCAGCTGCATCATTCTTGGTAACAAAACTATTAAAAAAAAAAAAAAAAAAGCCTAAATTGGGCCAGATGGCTACTCTATGTATTTTAGAATACTATAATTCAGTCAATTCTGTTGGTCAGTGGTATTCTACTCTCAGCCAAAATATGTCTATATTGAACTAAAGACCTTTTGGGGAGGGGGGCGAGAGGGGAGGTGGGTGGCTTAAAGTACTTAGCAGTCGCTGAGAAATTCATAGTGCTGGCCGCGTCTGCCGTTTCTCAGTCTTTTGCGTGTGTCCCTGTTTGGATCAGATTGGAAGCTTCAGACGCTCTGTTGTGTAGAAAAGCTCAAAGGAAGCAAGAGTGGCTTTTCAGCTTCTTGAGCCAGAATGCTCTCTTTCTTTCTTTTGTCTTTTAAATCAGGTGGAGACCTTGGCTTTGCCCTGACATTTGTTAATGAGATATAGCAGATGCAGACTGATTTAATCTTACGAGTCTTCTCTCTTTACTTCCTCTGATTTCTTCCTCATCAAACTTCCAGAAGGCAATTTTCCCTTCTACTCTCCATACTGGTAATCACATGTGTTTGAACACACACACACACACACACACACACACACACACACACACACACACACACTTTTATCTACTTCTTTCTGGTGACCAGTTTCCTCACTGACCCAGGGGCAGATGGGTACTGTTTGGCACTGAGTCTGGAATTCACATCCCCAGGACATTGCTTTCTGTGTGGCCTGACCAGCAGGCTCTCCTTTCTTTACCCACACCACTCACATGTTTTCTTTATCCCTTACATAGAAGTCTAAAAGTAGAGGTCTCAGTTAACATAATTATAGGCATTTGGGGAGGACTCTGGAAGGAGCGATCTCCAAGCAAGCATGTCAGGGCCTGGGAGAGGGGAAAGCAAGGGCCGAGGGACCGCCACCCCTCTTCACCTGCTCACTGTGGTTCGTGGTTGGAATGAGCTCCTTCTGGAAGCTTGGACAGGTGTGCACATCCTCCCAGGACACTAATACTGCATTCTGATTCTACTGGCTTTTCTCTCAAAAGCAAGGATATGTGAAAGTTATGAATCAAACAAGCCGTACCAGGAGCCCAAGGTCGACTATAAATAAGGAAATGCAGTCTTCCCTTTGGGCCGAAAGTCTCACAGAGGTCACTGGTCATGTTTTATTGTTACATTGTTCTCAGTGAAAACACAGTGCTCGTGAAGATGCCCGTATTTGCAGCTTCTCTACTCTACTACTGTGTAGGCCTCCCAGCTCCAAGGTCAGGGCTGAGAGAGTAAGTCTCCGAATGTGAGTGACTAGGCCTGGCCGAGACAACCTCCACTGTATTGCTACCTCTACTTTGTGCAGTGATGGGGTCGGGGCTTGTAATCAGCACTGGTTTTCTAGCCAGGGTTTACTATAGTGGAGCTCCACTGGCTGTTAATCAATTGCCACTCTCCTGGAATCGACCAATTCTTCAAGCCTTTCAAGTATCAGGAAGTACTGTTTTTATGACCCCACACTCCTTCTTCCTTTTGAATCCACACCCCCAAGCCCCTGTCCCCTTTTTCTCTCTTCTGATTAGCAGTCAAGTATTGAATCCTCAGGGAGCAAGAGCGTCCCTGTACCATGGGCACCGAAACCTGGGTTAGGCCTCAGGGTCTAGCAAGGGCAAAGGTGGTGTTGGATGTCTTCCTTGCTTGGAAGATGTCTGATGTTCAGCTATACGGCTGCGGTCATGGGGTTCTTCTGCCTGGGATCCTGGTTACGATAGGGGTTCCGCTCAGGGCTGCCCCCTCGGGGCCTTGCTCTGCCCACCTCCTGATAGGTTGTAACTCGCTGGTGCTGAGGTGGGGAAGGCGGAACATCTTGTCTGAAGGGTCCTTTGTGCTGCTGGGCTGGTGGGCGCGGATAGTACTGCGGATATCGGAGATCTGCCACCCTCAGATCTGAGGAGTGGGGATAGCCCCCTCTCGGGGGATGTACAGGATGAGGCCCTGGGTAGTATGGAAGCTCTCTCTCACTGTAGCGCCCTCGGGGTGCTGCGGTCAGGTAGTCCATGGGATCTGCTGAGCCTCTCCTAGAAAGAGAAGCAGAGAGAGGGGGGGTCAGGAGCTACGGAGCTGCTCCCAGCTGAAGACGGCATGCTTCTGCCATGGCCGCAGTTGGCTGTGACCGCACCCGAGGTCTGGGCAAGGGTATATGAGCAGATGTGAAGTGTACCCTTAAACAACGAGAGAGGGAATCGTCTCCTCTTTGGCATCTTAGACTTCAAGGTGAAAACCACGTGCCAGGGAAGGCAGAGCAACAAGAATGTAAGAACTCTGGCCCTTGACACCACGAGCTACTATATCACCTAGGACAGTTGACACTCACCTTGGTACATGAGAAGAAATACATCCCTGCATTGTTATTGTTTATCCCCCTTCATATTCACTTTTATTACAGCGATCAAACTAGTTTCCTCTACACAGTGAGGTTGCGCTCTGTTAGAGCCCACATCTGTATGAGATATGGTAGCATTAATAATACAGTGGGTCAGAGTCGTCATAAACTATACTTACTCATTTCCCTCCGAGAAGGTGAGGTGCTCATTGAGTGGGCTGTGTGTGGCCTTGGCTAAGTCCGGGTGGCTGCTGTCACACCCCTGTACGCGCCTCCCCTCTACGGTTCCCCAAAGAACTCTCAACTCAAGGCTGGGAAAGACCCACCTGGAACTGTGATAAAAGTAATTAAGTCTATCACAAATTCAGTAGCAAAAACCAAGTTGCCCCGCATAATGGGCAGCATACAGAAAGGTCCAGGGCAAGAACACAGGCTAATCGGAAACAAGCCTGTCGGGAAGTTTCTACTGAAGACAAGTATCATCCGATCTGTTCGCCGTAACAGAAACAATCCGTCTCTAGACAATGTGCAGATGATGGCATCTTGGCTAGCCTGGGGTGAGACACATGACTTCTGTTTGCAGCCCTTAAAATCCCAATAAACCTTCTGTGCACATACTCGCCAGTACCATTTACCACGTCACCAGATTCCTCCATTCTTTATTCCTCTGCTCTTCATGTTTAAGGAGAAACAGCAACAATAATAATTACTGAAAAGCTTGCCAATGTCAGCGTTCAGACCGCTTGGACACTTGAAAGAAGTGACAGGGCTATATAAGAATACCATGCCTGTGGTTAATCAGGCGCTGTCAGTGAGGGTCAAAATCACCCTGTAATCTGTGGAGTTGGATGTTAAAACAGCCCTGTCCCCCAAATCAATGAAGGTTTGACAAGCTCTGAGCTCCGGGAGCATGTGGCAACGTAGGCCTCAGGATGAATGATACAGTCTCCCATCTACATTTATCTGTGTGGGTGTGTGCCCTAATTTTGCTATGTATAATAATGAATGATAGATCCATGAATTTGGGGGGTAATTTCGTTAGCGAGAGTTTTCAGATAAAAAATTAAATTGTTTGCGTACAAGTTATTTATAGCATCAGCTGGCATTACTCAGTTCGGGCCGCTTTGCTCTATGCTAAATTGCCCATGACAAATAGAGCAGGCATACATCGCCAGTCATCTGTCACTGTGACCCTGCAAAATAAAGGACCCGGTTTTCACCATCCCTTTTCTTGACAATTTCATTTTTTATTTAGAAAATTTCTAGCACTCATTGTATCTTTTATTGTAAAAAAAAAAAATTAAAGACCCCTTCTCTCAACCATCATGCTCATTTCTGTTTTCTTTGGCTCGAGCTGGAGATTGCAGAAACACTAAAAAAAATCCTTAACCTGTGTTTCCTCTCAAAAGCTACCAGAGGTATTTCTCTGCATGAAGTGGAACATGTGGTTTCTCTGCACTCATTTTAAGTCCTCAGGATAAATCACTGACATTTGCAACACACAAACATTATCTGCCTTAAAATGAACGCGCAACCAACACTCCCTCTGGACTCTCTTAGCGGGAATGTTTCCTGTTTAAAATGGGAAGAGAGAAGGGAGAAATTCCAGGCCTTGGGTTTTTTTTTTTTTTAGGGTCCTGGTCTCTCTCTAAAGATTTCTCTCTTTTAAAACAGAACATTATAAAAGACAGAATGCCTTGGGGTTTGCTTTTTTTTTTCTTTCTTTTTTTTTAAGCTATGGAGAGACAGTCCAGAGCAAGTGGTGACGGGCTAGAAGCCACCCTGAGCGACTCGCAACCCTGAGTGACTTGACGGTGTGCATGTGGGGCCAGAGAGGAGACTATCTCCTCTCTCACACCTCTCCCTGTGACGATCCAGCACTCACTGCAAGGAGGAGGGAGGGTTCCCAGGGCAGAGAGGGCGACCCCAAGATAGCATCACGGTCCCAGAGGGCTTCTCTGGAGGAGGATTATATGTTGGGGAGTTTGCTTACATGTGGCAGACACCAAGTGAGGCGCTGCTCTTTGTCAAGCAGTGGTGGCATGGAGATTGTCTTTTTCTGTAGAACTCATCATAACAGTTATTGTTTGTAATTTTTCAGGGAGAAGAAAAACAATGAGTTGCTCTGTAAAAACACAGATTGAAAGTTCAAAGATGGCTGGGAGCACTTTCCTCCTGGTCTGCTGTTTATAACATTTTTTTTCCCCTTAAAGCCTATCATTTTCTATAGGCTTTCACCAGAACAGCTTCTAAACTATTGCGAATATTATCACATGTATATGCTCATATAAACATTTAAAAGAACCATTTCTGGGGACTGGGGAGATGGCTCAGAGGTTAAGGGTACTCTTGCAGAGGACCAGAGTTCCATTCATTCCTTAGAACCCACACGGGGTGGCTAACATCCTCTTGTAACTCTAGCTCCATAGGGTCTAAGCTACACTCATGTACACATGTGTGCCCACACACATGCACAGGCACTTAAAAAGTAACAATTTTTAAGCAGAAAAAAAGAAAGCCTCCTATATGAGTCACTTTTCCCCACACAGACAAGACGTGGGATAGAATCAACGTAAGTGTCGGGGAAGGAGTTCATTTTGGCATACAGTTTCAAAAGGAACAGTCATCCTGATGGAGAAGGCAGACAGAGCAGCCTTGTGAACTGGGGGGATAGCTAAGCTCCGCACATGGATGTGGGGATCAGTAAGCTAATGGGAACCGTAAGTGGACATTACCTTCAAGGTCCACTCCAGGGCAACCCATTTCCTTTGGACAGGTCACATGGACCAAAGATTCTACAACTTCCCCAAACAGTGCCATCAGCTGAGCACCAAATATTCAAATCGAATGATCCCATGAAGGGAACATTCCCTTTAAGTTTCCGTTTCCCACTGAATAGGATTATTTCTGGAAGCCAGGGGATTTAGGTTTCGCTTGGAAACTCCTAGGGATGGCTTCAGGTATGTTCCAAATCACAATGATGCATGCAACTAGGAAAATGATGAATATTAAACTGTTTTGCTGAAAAGTGACCAAGTCATAGGTCTAAACCGCAAAACTTCCTCTTTAGCCACAGAACTGAGTAAGGGAGGGAGAAAGAGCTGAGATGCTGTTGTTTTTGTTAATCTTTAGTGTCTTCTTCCTTAGTGTCTCTCTATGTGTGAGATTTAGTGTCGGTGAGGAGAGCAGAAACTCAGTTTGTCCTGGAGAAGGCTTCTCAGAGGGACTCACATGACCTGCCTTGAGCCAATCCTAACAAATCCAGGGCAGCTTCCTCAGGAGATTGGATTAACACAAGGACCCAAACTGCATGTATGTCAGTACCTCAGGACTCCAGATTGCTCATGTGACCCTAGGAGTCTTATTTGTATGTATTATTAATTTCTTTAAAATAAAGATGAAACCCCCCAATTTGAAAGTCTTCCACAGAAACCATATTTACTGTAGGAAAGAGAAACATGACTGTATTTGTTTTTCTTCTAACTTTGAGTGAAGTTCTGGGAAAATTCCCTTCAAATTTCTGTTTTCTTTCTGAGTAGGCTCATTTCTGGAACCCAGAGACTTCGGATTTGCTTGGAAACTCACAGGACTGGTTTCAGGTATGTTTTCACTCACAGAGATGCATGCCACAGTGCAAATAATGAATGTGAACCATTTGGCCCAAACATGACAAAGCCACAGGTTATTTACATGCAAAGTAACAAATAGAGGACTTTCTTTTTGTGACATCTTACTGTGTCACTAGTTTACATTTAGTGAAAGACACCTGGAAATGAGAGCCTCCACTGATCAGCCAGTCCCTGGGTACCAGCCATCATCACATATGAAAGGATGGAAGATAGGCTTCTGTTGGGTTAATCAATTATGCCTGGGAAGGGGGAATGGCGTTGGAAGGACAGATCACTATAATGCTTTCTACCATCAGTAGGTTGCTGCTCTCAGTGGAGTGGGGAAAGGTACAAGGACAAGTGTCCATCCTCCTCTTACCTTTGTATCTCCACCCTCAGTGCTCACTCCACATGGAGTGAGAATTTGAAAGAAAATGGCCCCTAAAGGGAATATCGCTATTAGGAGGTGTGACCTTGATGGAGTAGGTGTGGCCTTGTTGGAAGAAGTATATCACTGTGGAGGCGGGCTTTTTTTTTTTTTTTTTTTTTTCTCCCCAAGAGACAGGGTTTCTCTGTGTAGCTTTGTGCCTTTCCTGGAACTCACTCTGTAGACCAGGCTGGCCTCGAACTCAGAGATCCTGCAGGTGGGCTTTGAGGACTCATATACGCTCAAGCCACGCCCAGGGAGACGGCCTACTTCCTGTTGCCTGCAAAGTGTAGGACTCTCAACTCCTTCTCCAGCACCTTGTCTGTCTGCACTCCGCCATGTCCCACCATGATGATAATGGACTGGACCTCTGAACTGTAAGCCACCCAACTGAATGAACGCTTTCCTTTGTAAGAGTTGCGGTGGTTTATGGTGTCTCTTCCCAGCAGTAGACACCCTAACTGTGACACCCCATTTAGTCATTCTCACTGCATTCGCCTTTCACTTGGCCTTGTGGTACTTACTCAGTGGCTGTCTGGGAACCTGGCACTTACTCTCAAGCCTCTGGCAATCTCCCTTGGAGCTCCGCACAGGGCTTTGTGTCTCCTAGGCGCTCCATAAATGTATGTTGAGCTTATTTGAGGGGAGATGCACAAATGT